GTGTCTTCCATTGCAGACACTGCAAAGCTCCAGGCGGACATCAACCAAATCTTTCAGTGGGCTGCAGAAAACAATATGAAGTTCAACGACGAGAAAAACATGAGGAAATTAAATCTTCATCAGAGTACAAAACAAATTCTGGCCACAAAATAGAGCGAAACACCAACGTCAAAGACCTGGGAGTGATCATGTCGGAGGATCTCACCTTCAAGGACCATAACATTGTATCAATCGCATCTGCTAGAAAAATGACAGGATGGATAATGAGAACCTTCAAAACTAGGGAGGCCAAGCCCATGATGACACTCTTCAGGTCACTTGTTCTATCTAGGCTGGAATATTGCTGCACACTAACAGCACCTTTCAAGGCAGGTGAAATTGCCGACCTAGAAAATGTACAGAGAACTTTCACGGCACAGTACTCGCTCCCATCTTGTTCCTCATCCTCATATCCGACATAGACAAGGATGTCAGCCACAGCACCGTGTCTTCCTTTGCAGATGACACCCGAATCTGCATGACAGTGTCTTCCATTGCAGACACTGCAAAGCTCCAGGCGGACATCAACCAAATCTTTCAGTGGGCTGCAGAAAACAATATGAAGTTCAACGATGAGAAATTTCAATTACTCAGATATGGTAAACATGAGGAAATTAAATCTTCATCAGAGTACAAAACAAATTCTGGCCACAAAATAGAGCGAAACACCAACGTCAAAGACCTGGGAGTGATCATGTCGGAGGATCTCACCTTCAAGGACCATAACATTGTATCAATCGCATCTGCTAGAAAAATGACAGGATGGATAATGAGAACCTTCAAAACTAGGGAGGCCAAGCCCATGATGACACTCTTCAGGTCACTTGTTCTATCTAGGCTGGAATATTGCTGCACACTAACAGCACCTTTCAAGGCAGGTGAAATTGCCGACCTAGAAAATGTACAGAGAACTTTCACGGCGCGCATAACGGAGATAAAACACCTCAATTATTGGGAGCGCTTGAGGTTCCTAAACCTGTATTCCCTGGAACGCAGGAGGGAGAGATACATGATTATATACACCTGGAAAATCCTAGAGGGACTAGTACCGAACTTGCACACGAAAATCACTCACTACGAAAGCAAAAGACTTGGCAGACGATGCACCATCCCCCCAATGAAAAGCAGGGGTGTTACTAGCACGTTAAGAGACCATACAATAAGTGTCAGGGGCCCGAGACTGTTCAACTGCCTCCCAGCATACATAAGGGGGATTACCAACAGACCCCTGGCAGTCTTCAAGCTGGCACTGGACAAGCACCTAAAGTCAGTTCCTGATCAGCCGGGCTGTGGCTCGTACGTTGGTTTGCGTGCAGCCAGCAGCAACAGCCTGGTTGATCAGGCTCTGATCCACCAGGAGGCCTGGTCACAGACCGGGCCGCGGGGGCGTTGACCCCCGGAACTCTCTCCAGGTAAACTCCAGGTAAAGATTTGAGGGTGTTGCATGAAGATTCGGGGATGTTACATGAAGATTTCGAGGCATTGTACTAAGCTATGGTAATGCTACATGAATGTATGAGGGACTATACGAAAATTTGGGGGTGCTGTTGGAAGGCCTGGGGTGCTATTTGAAGAGTGATAGTACACATTTGCCACAATACAAATACATGTAGCTTATAAAACGTACACGGGTTCCATTCCTAGGCAGGCAATATGCATTGGCAAATTTTGCACCTGTTGCCCATGTTCACCTATCAGTAAAACAGGTTGTGGGTCTCATCCTGGTGGCTGGGAGACACTATATACCTTAGAAATATTGTAAATACTTCCTCTCGAATAGAGTGGTAGATGACTTGAACTAAGGAATAAATATATTGCATGAAAAACATTGTGAATTTTAAAACCTTAAGCGATAACCTTTAACTGTAGACGGGGACATCACTAGGATATCCTCGTGGGGTGGGGGCTTCGTGATCCAATGAACCGGAGCTACGCTACCCTTCCTCGGAAAAAGCCAAGTTACCCCCATTCTCAGGCACTGTATGATAATCCCTACGGATTTAGCGCTTCCCCATGAATGTAATCATAAAAATAATACATTGATAATTAGAAGCGCACTGTCATGGGAGGGAATTACTAACTACCAGAAACATGTGAAGTTGACTGAAAGATTGAAAATAGCGTACATGTCATAGCACAGTATTTAATGCAAGTCAAGCAGGATAAAAGCACTTGCCATAATATAAAGTGCAGATTAAGATAACAAACATCTTGGGCAAGAAGCAAGCATAGCAGTTTTAAAATGGCATACCTCGAGCAGTATTATGATGCATCCTTAAGACCCACCACGGTAATGTTGTTATGTGTCTCGCATTATTTTACTTCATGTTGGTTAATCAACTTGAAGGGATAGATAATTAAAAATACGATATTTATAATAATGAAGATTAAGCTAGTTAGGTAAGATTCGTCAGGAGATAGGAGAATGTTTCATGATGCAGGTCTTAGTCATAGGATGACCCGCCACTGGAGCTTCTGGTCATCTGACAGAGACCTTCAGCCGGCTTACCGGTCCATCCCTTTAAAAATTAAGATTAATATTGGCTAATCTAGAGTATTATGATTCGATTTGTGGATAAAGGCTAAACCAGTAAGGATTAAACAACGCCTGGGGAATGGGAGGCGATTAAAGTTGATCCGAGGAAGGAGAGTACAGGTCAAATTACTCAGACCTATGCCAGAGTAGTTAGTTAACGATAGGGATATACGTAATTGTTTAAGCTATAACTATAACAAAAATCTTCTAAAAAAGTGTTAGGTAAAAGGACACAACTGCAACTAATATGACATTTTAGTGTCACAACGTTTCGCTCTCCAGGAGCTTTGTCAATCTGTTACAAATATTGCTTGACAAAGTTCCCGGGGAGCGAAACATTGCCACAAGGAAATGTCACGTGAGCTGTATCTCTCCATTTACCTAACATTTTGTTTGTAACTCTACCATTATTACCCTCTAAAACACTGCGTAGATACATCAGCAAAAATGCTAGAACACTGGATCATAAAAAGTAACTCAGTCATGGCCACTGGTCAATGCTATGTTGAATATTGGGTACATTGTGTCTCCTCGTAATATTTGTGCCTCCGGCGATCCTACCTTCAAGTACTACGTTTAAGAAAATGTTTTTGCGAATAAAATGGATTATGTGGCACACTGTTTCATGATCAAGAATATGCTTAGTGAAAAAGCAGCTTTGGTAGAAATGTTGATATCAGCAGCAGCAGAAACAGCGGCGGTATTAACAGTACTGCAGCAGAAGCAGTAACATGATGGTAGCAGCTCAGCGGCAGCAGAATTGATAGCAGCATTAGCGGTAATAGCAGCAGTATTAGTTGCAAGAGTAGCAGCTGCAATGGCAGCAGTAGTAACAGTGGCAGCAGCAGTATTAGAGGTAGCATCGGTAGCAGAAACACGATCACAGCAGCAGTATACGCAGAATCAGCAGCTGTGAAACATCGGAAGCAAAAGCAGCAGAGCGGTAGCAGCAGCAGGATGCAACAACAGCAAAAACCAGAAAGAGTACACTGAGCTGCGTAAAGGACTATGGATGTTGTCTGCCTGGTGTTGTGATGGTGTTGTTGCACACACACACACACACACACACTAACTAACTAACCAGGAGCTTGGACTCGACCCCTGCAGCCTCAACTAGGTGAGTACACACACACACACACACACATATATATATATATATATATATTATATATATATATATATATATATATAATATATATATATATATATATATATATATATATACAAACTTACACATGCATACAACTACTTATTTACACACCCTGAACATATCCAAACACTTGCTGTAAACTCAGTTTTACCTAAGAATCAAGTTATTAATTAACTGTTCAGCATTTGTCAGTAAATCATTATAAGTGATCTGCTATAAACGAAACATAACATTGCCAAATGTTCCATACAGTATTATAGATAACATCATTATAACTCTGTAATGTGCATCCATTCGTATAAAACAGCATTCATAAACCTGAAACAGCATGAGCCTTGTGGTTAAAATAAGCCTAGCGTTAAAAGTATTTGTCAAAATATTTCATATGGCAACTAGAGAATGGGTCTGGCGGGAAAACTGAGATGTTCGAATCAGCTTTTGCTATGACAGATTCATTGTCTGATTTATATTATATATAACTAGATCAGCGTCTCTTCACTTTTACATATATGTAAGTATATTTATGTGTGTACATTAATGGTACATGTATTAATACTTTAAAAGAAGGAATACTATACTGATGGGTAGAAAGAGTTAATTGAAGACAATTGAGAGGAATCGGATACCTACTGATGCTACTCGCTAATTTCAACTTCTGGTCTGGTCCCGGGTTCTTATTTGGTCTTTATAGTCAATTCATGAGTATCAATATTTATGTGACGTCTTTACCTTTAACAGGTATTTTCGCATTTAATTAATTACAAATTCATAGTCACAATTAATCGTTATATTTAATATTTTTTAATCATTATGGGGTTCATAGACAGTCAGTGACTACCTTCCTATGATTTTTGTAAGTAGAGACATTTGAAGAAGGCAAATGAAGCCCTTACAAGTATGCAAGACTTACACTGGTGTAGTCAACTCAGGATCAATGACAAGCGGCATAAGGGTTGTGTTACCTGACCATAGAAAATCTTACGCCTTTTGCTCTTTTATATTTAAAATACGTGGGGTATTTCCTACATGTCTTGCGTCAAAAAGCCATAATCATTTTTATTATAAGGTTGAAAACTGTATGTTACTCTAAGATATAAGCCTTTTTAGCCACTATATTGCCGCGTCGGTCACCTACGACCAATGAAAATTCAGTATTTTCCCGCGAACATAAGTACAAAGCGGGGAAGGTAGTGCGAGGCGTCGCTTCCGCTAGCTACTCAGCCAATCAACGTCGACGTAGGCAGACCCGGACTGCTGAGAGGAGTTGTGATTAGCTGACGAGCAGATTGTGGCGGGCGAGGAGTAAAGCTGGTGTGTCCCGCGTGGCCTGGCGCGCAATAACGGTCGTAAAGCGTCACTTAGTAAGACGGTATCAGAGGGGGAGGGTCGCTCAGCTCTTCCTCTACCGCACAGCGGTTCAACCTTTTCTCAGGATTGCCACCTAAAGTGCCAAGATGCCGCGTGGGAGACCCCGTGGTTCAGGGACAGCCGTAGACAAACCCCGTGGTCGTATGACTGCTTACGCCTACTTTGTGCAAACCTGCCGTTCTGAACACAAGAAACTTCACCCCGACGAGAACGTGCAGTTCGCAGAGTTCTCCCGCCAGTGTTCTGAGCGATGGAAGACGATGTCCGAGAAAGAAAAAAAGAAGTTTCACGACATGGCCGAAGAGGACAAGACTCGCTTCAACGAGGAGATGAAGGACTTCGTTCCCCCAGCGGGTGGGCGTCGTGGGCGGCGCGGGCGGGGTAACAAGCCACCCAAGGACCCTAACAAGCCCAAACGAGCCTTGTCTGCCTTTTTCTATTACGCCAACGATGAACGAGCCAAGGTACGTGCCGCCAATCCCGACTTCTCTGTGGGGGAGGTGGCCAAGGAGCTGGGCCGCCAGTGGGCTGAAATGTCTGAATCCGAGAAGATAAAGTACGAGAAGATGGCTGAGGAAGACCGCGCTAGATACAACAAGGCGATGTCGGCCTACAAGGCTGGTGATGGCTCACCCTTGAAGAAAGCCAAGGCTGCTAATGGTCACCCTGTTGATGTTATGCCCGATGAAGACGATGACGAGAACGACGCAGGCTCCGAAGAAGACGATGACGATGATGGCTCTGGCGAGGATGACTAAGTGAAGTGATTGTGTGAGCATTTACACGACCAAAAAGACAAGTGTTATGTGATGTACAAACTTATTTTTATACTGCTAAGCCTGTACATTTTAGCAAGTAAGGTATTTATCCCATCCGGGGATTCCTCAAGGATTGATTTTACGTCCCTTTATGTACTTACCAATTTCAAATTTAGTTTTTATATTTTCTACCAATAAAACAAAAAAGAAAAATGAGTTTTAAGTGTCCTAATTTGTGCTCTGAAATATATAAACAATAGCGTTTGCAACGTGTGGATGAGGCTTTTAAACTGAAAATATAACGAAATTGATAACGTAACTTATCCGTAAGTATTATGGCACGTTTTGTGGTAACAAAATACCCTTAGTGTTTATTAAAAACTAACAGCAAACACTTCCTAAGCTACAGTCATTGTTAATGGAAAATGTTAAACCTGAAAGCTTTAAAAAAAAAATCCTGCATATATTAAAAGCAACTGCCTCTTGATATTTGTCCCGCTGCTTTACCACAGCACTGTCAAGTTAATTGAGTTGCATGTGCTTTTTGCCAGGTTTGTAGCTGAAAATGGCGTGCATTAAATTTCAGTGGCACTGGCAGCTGTTCAAGTGACTCAGGTGTTGCAGAAATGTGTACACCCCAGTATCTGAGCTTTATCTGAAATGTATGTTTTCTGCAATTTTTTTATGCTTAGTCACATTCATTACTGGCTGTTTAAATGGTATTTACTAGTCTAGTAAGGCATAACCTAGACAGGTGGTATGTAGCAGTGTTGATACCTGCCCACGTCAACTTCTTATAAACTAGGTACTAATCTAATGCTGTAGTAGTCTCAACCAGTAATGAAGTGTAAGAAGATAGCAATTGAAAGACCTCCATAAGCAGATGTTGGCGTGTTCATTGCTGTACTTAAAAACTGATTCTTGGATTCCTTGGGGTTTAGCGCTTATAAGTTCAATTTTGACAAGTTCCCAATGGCTTAAATATTAAAATATATTTGGGATATATTAAAAAGACTTATTGTTGATTATTTTGCCCTTTTTAAATATCCCAAGGGTGCATTTTACTTCAAATTTAATGCCTCTTCGATCGTTAATTTTTTTCTCTAAAATACGTAGTAAAAATTCCGAACTTGCTAGCAGACTTTTCATAACAGAATTAATATTTTCATAATTATACAACAGCAAATAAATTTTGCTTACACCCGAATTACTGTTTAGTCTATTCTATATTATAATCACTATCCTTTTGTACAATTTACACTATCAGATCATTTATCTCCTGCCTGTTTATCATATCTTGCTAATTGTCTGACAGTATTCAGAATGCCATCTCTTAAAAGAGAACCTTAGTAATACTTTTGGTGTGGGTTTAACGCTTAGTTTTGATTGCAATAATACTTTAGGTTTGACTTAACTGCACTAAAATCAATACGCAAAATTTCATATACAGAGAAAGTAAGTTATCACCAGCTCTGTACTCGATGCTCTAGAGCGAATACTAAACATTCTTATTTGAACGGCCGAGTTCTATGGTGAATAGTTCTTGATTCAAGGAAATTATTTCCTTGGGTCGAATGATTTCAAAGATACTATGACAGTTCCCTCCCCCCATCCTCCCTATAGGTCGTATCAGAAGACTGTATAATGAGCGGGAGCTATATGCAGCTGCATAATCCTACGGGTTTAGCGCTTCCCCTTGATCATAATATATTTATGCAGTCATTTTAATTATATACGCTGTATAGCCCTTGTGGCTTAGCGCTTCTTTTTTGATTATAATAATTTAATTATATTGTCCAGGTTCTGACGTGTAAGTTCAAAGTCTCTCCAAAAGTAAATTTGGTTACTTGCAGTAGGCTGTCAGCTTTGTCAATATACAATACAGATTTCATTAAGCCTTGCTCATAGTTTATAAAATGAATAAATAAATACCAAACATTACAACGTAAGGTAACATTTTGGATATCCGTGAAGATACATTAGGTAGAGAACCTTAATTTTTAAATGTAACCCCCAACGGAGGTATCTTGATGCTAGTGAAAGGGCTATTGATGAAAGGTTGAAAGTTTGTGGGCTTAGCGCTTAGTTATGATTGTAATATTGATCAAAGAAACGGGTCTTCCTTACATCAAGTTGACTTCCTTCCATTCTCCAGGTGCTAATTATTCTTAGTTTAGCGCTCTCCCAATGAATTTTTTATGGTGTGAAAACCTAGCTCCAGCAGGTCGGCGGATGCTCACGGTAACCAATTAACCGACATGATCAGTTTTAAAGGTCATCTACGTCCTAAAACCGTAATATGCTTTCTCATTGTGATAAGACGTTTACGTAAAGTACCAAATATCAATTACTAGCTGTCGTATACGGAAGGTATTCAGTGTGAAGTTGGGTAGGCTTTTATTTGTTGCAGACCAACTGACCACAACTGCCACTAACTTGTTAAACATGGTGCCAGGGTTGAACTCGAAAAGCCAGATATATGAAGACTTTGTTGCGCATCCCTAGTCCAGACAAATCACTGCCTAACCCTTGGAGAATAAAAATGCGCAATTCCGTGACTAGAACTAATCACAAATAACCCGCACACAGGAGAATGAAACTTGACTGTTTCATGTAAGGGCCATATAGCACAAGATGAATAGGCATTAAAGTTCAATCCAAGGAAGGAGAGGTTGTCCCGTTCCTTGCATCAAGAACTCTCCGGCATACAGGCACTCGACGGGCCTTAAATCTGTACTCGCCTAATTGTGGTTGCAGGGATCGAGACTCGGCTCCTGGCCCCGCCTCTTCACCGACTGCTACTAGGTCCTCTCTCCCCCTGCTCCATGAGCTTTATCATACCTCGTCTTAAAAGTATGAATAGTTCCTGCCTCCACTACATCGCTTTTATACATCTGTATAAAAATTCCTGTACATCCCAACTATTTCTAAAAGGTGCATTGATGTCTGTGAAGGGTTCTAGATTATAGTAGTGGATATATACCCCATTTCCTTGGATTGAACACCATTTCCCCAAAGCACAGTATGACCCACCCGAGTTTAGCCCCTCCCCCACGAATGTAATAAAATACTAGCCTGTAGCTTCTCTAATGAACACACATTTAAAGATCTTATGATTTGTACATATTTTAAAGAATACTTCTGTTTTATTAATAAAACAGCTGTATAGTCCTTGTGGCTTAGCGCTTCTTTTTGATTATAATAATAATAATATTAATAAAACAAGATAGGCTAATTGGTACCTTGCGAGTCTTGAAAAACCAAGGCTTTAGCGCTTGGTTATGATTATAATAATAGCTCTTGATTATGATTATGACCATACGGATTTGGTGCTAGTTTTCGAATAAGTGCTGTATAGCCCTTGTGGCTTAGCGCTTTTTTTATTATAATAATCGAATAAAAGTCGTGGAAGCTCGATCCTTTCAGTTAATCCGGTCTGATCAGATAGCCCGTTAATGACCTTAGTGGCGGGTAAGTAAAAGCATGCGCTACCTTTCAGAGGTGTTACTCTAGAACTGTGGTCACCCCTCAGGGGATAAGCTTTGATGCCCGTGAGAGTTTTGCTGTAAGGAAGTGGACCCCTTAAATCGAACCTGATTGTTTCGTGCTTCGAATGGCCCCTTAGTCATAAGCCCTCTCCCCTTCATCCCTGATCATAATTATACAGGTGGCCAGATTAGTACCTCTGATATTCCTACGAGTTTTTCTACTCTGAGCCCGTCACTGGTCTAGGCTCGTCTGGTGCTTGCCTGGTCAACCAAGCTGTGGCTGCTGGCGGCCCGCTGGCCCACATCCGTCAGTCTGATTGATCTGGCACCTGGTGAAGATACTTGTCCAATTTTCTCTTGGAGACTTCTACCCGTGTCCCAGCAGTATTTAATATCTTCTGGCGAGATGTTGAATATTCTGGACTCACGGATGTTGATACAATGTTCTTGTTGTGCCCATGGTGTCCCTGCATTTCACTGGGTTTATTTCACATTTCACTCCAGTATGTCATGGCAGGTTTGGAGCCAGACCCTCGAATACTTTCCTAGCTGGCAAAGCCCTCCCTTCACAAGCTGAGGACCCAGGTTAGATTCCCGGCAGGGTGGAAACATTAGACGCGTTTCTTTAAACATGTTGTCCTGTTCACCTAGCAAGTAGGTACCTGGGTGTTACTCGACTGGTGTGGGTCGCATCGTGGGGGACAAGATTGAGGACCCCAATGGAAATACGTCCCCGCGATGATGCACTGCCTTTCTTGGGTTATTCTGGGTGGCTAACCCTCCAGGGTTAAAAATCCGAATATCTCGTCTCTCCTCTAGTGAGTACAAATTTAGAACTTGAAGGCGTTCCCAGAAATTTGCTTCATTGGCTCTATGCAGGTCGTAAATCGTCTCCATCTGTTCCAGCTCCTATATCTCCTGCCCTGAACGGGTTGTGGTAAGTATTTTCTCCCTTTTCCCCTCCTTCAGGTGGTCAATGTATACCCAAGTCACTACCCTTCAAGAGTGGGTAGGGAGGCGGATGCTTTGGACGAAACCTGATTACCTCTCGTTTTCCATGCGTCGTACGAGCCTTGCTGGTTTATCGCTTCCAGTGAATGCAATACCAAAGATTAAGTTTGTATTCATTCACTTGGTAGAAATGGAATGCAAGATAACTCGACTCTAAATATCTCGTACAGGTTAGCGATTTTTGGAATACTGTAGTAATGAAGTCGTGTATAAACCACGTGCATTTAATACACGAGTACTGTAAGTGGGCGCCTGTGTACGCAAGAATGTGCGTGTATTACGTGTGAATGTATTGTATACATGCGTATTTGTTCAGTTTACCGAGTGTACATGTGCAATGTGTGCATGTACGAGTATTGTCCATTTGCACATTATGCACAATGCTTAAATTTAGTGTACGTGTACTGTGCCTAAATGTGTGATTGTACATTGTGTACATGTATATGCTCTCCGTATATGGTATGTCTGATCAGTTTGGAAAGTTCTGCTGTTGCAGTTGGTATGAGACCAGGTTTGTGGAGTTCGTGGATGCTCGTGCATTTTTTTTTCAAACTGTGCCTTGATGTTGAAGGGCTCTTGATCAAAGTAATTGAAACCACCACTCCATAACTGTTCAAGCCTGTTCACCCATTCTCTAGGCGCTGTTCCATACCAGGCGTCAAGGTTGCTAGTCTGAACAACCAGGCTGT